ACATGGATTAAATACATTGGCATAATGAATCCAATTATTTGTCAGAAGGAACAGACATTTTAAACCAGGCCTATCAAGTGGAACAGATAACCCTTTTTTTGAAACCGGACAGCGTAGATCATAAGCAAGAGCGGATGACTACGATTTACAAATTAAATAGCTTTCGTTGACGATGTAATGACAAAATATCAATTATCAAGATTATTTGCGAGTTTCGTTCAGAAGCTCTGATTGGCGATTAGGAGTAGGAGTGATTGCATTATGGATAAATAACTTTAGTATTTATTCCCATTCTATTTATGCTACAGAAGAAGCTGGCTTTGACATTAACTTTAGCTCATGTAATCCATTCATCTTAACGAAATATATGATAGAGTAAGATGTCATTAATTGACTGCCGATTTCATGGTACAAAGAACTATCTGAAACAAATTGTTAAAAGATATAATCCTTACGGATTGTAAGTATTAATAATGTAAAACGTATGCAGCCTCAGTTAGAGATCAGATAATGAAGTGTTTAGAAATAGTTTGTAGTACTCTAATAAAAGATAAATGATTATGTCTCTATGGTATTTTTAAGATAGAAAATGCTTGATAAATCCCAAAATCAGAAAGATCATTGGTTGATTTAGTTGAATTAAATAGACGTACTGCCGATCCTGTCATGGGAGCTTCATATTTACTGTAAATTATATAATTTATAAACAGTAAAAAGGTAAGAATAAAGGATAAATCCAATCTACCTCTAAGATGCATATTGGGTAAGATGACCTTCTCACAAAGACTTTGAAGAGTCTCTGGTGACTCAAAGAGGTGTCGATGTTGAGGCCGTGCGACCACAGAGCTGAGAAATTCAATGGCATTTCCAACAAGCTAATAAAAGAAAGAAATATGATACTCAGATCATGACTATAGAAAAAGGACCAATCATACTTAAATAAGGCATACTGAATGATAACATCTGTAATTAAATTTAGGAAGCTATCAGAATGACAAACCAAAACTTTTTGTAAATGATTCCAACGCATTCATGGCAATCGCTATATAGGTGACGGCATTTGAGAGCTTCGATACGAAAATATACTAAATTATTGAGAAGGGAGCTCATAGGCAAAAGTCATTGTAAACTATGGAGAATGAGATTTTGACTTTCACAGAGTATGGGGCAGTTTTAGACTAAAAGATGCCAGCCAATGGGCAATATGCTGGCACCAAGATAAGTTAAAGCTTTACCTAAAGGGATCATAAAATTATGTCGAATTAAGTTTAAAGTAATTATTGGCAGATTTTGACTAAAAACAAGAGATGAACAGTTACCGTATTTTCCGGCGTATAAGACAACTCCTTGACTTTTCCAGTTGAAATATAGATTTTGTAAAGAGTTAAGGGGCATAACAGGAGCTCGGAACCATAGTATAATTAGCGATCCCTAAACTACACTCGGCGTATAAGACAACCCCTCACTTATAAGCAGAAATTTTTGGTGTGAAAAGTCGTCTTATACGCCGGAAAATACGGTAATTACACCCTCATGCTAAGTAATGAAACTCTGCGGAACGCAGTAATAAATCATTTTTTAAACAAACTCACCATATCGAACCGAGTTTCTTGACTAGTAGTGAGCAGCATTTGCCAGACATCTGTGACGAAACCGGATAAAAAGGGGGTAAACTCTTCTTCGTACTTGCTAGCATATAAGCCAATATTGTCGCAGACTTGCGATTTGACATGCTCTACAAGGCAACCAGCTTCCTCGCTACCTCCAAAGCCCGAAGCGATTCCACTTTCTGACACGACAGAGGCACTTGCATTAACAAGTTGGGTGGTGCAAGGATCCAACTGAAGAATTTGACAATGGATCAACATCCATTCGGACATAGTGTCTTCAAAAAACTCAGGCAAATCCTAAATGGTAAAAAAATGACTAAAATAAATTTTCACATTTAGTTACAATTGAATTCAAACATGATTGATCTGAGTCAAGTAGTGCAGCAAAGGGAAGACACACTGCCTGACGTATATAATCGAGGGTGAAGCAATCAAAGGGATTCGGAGTAACATTATAAATCAGATAAATTAGAATAAAAATAAATTCATAAGAAAAGAAATAAGATAAATGCCACTAGACAAACCTGACAGTTAAGACTAAGGAATATCTTGAAGA